GAAGAAAGATTTTGTAAAATCTGAATATACTTCTGGAAAATGTGACCTCACCTACTCCGTGGAACAGCAAAGAGAATTACTTCATGAAACTAAAATTACATAGGAGAGTTATCCAAGAGAATATGAGACTATTCAGCTCTGATCCATAGCACAAAGACTAAACGTATTGCACTGTTCCTTAAGAATAAAACAGGAAAAATAAACACTATATAATAGTTAGATTTTCAACAAATATGACTTACAATTTTCAGCAAGTACTGGATCTCATTAGAACACTTTGGTTTCAATAACTTGTAGCTACTGTGCAGCAGCAAATCCTAGCAGTAAAGGGGTTGGACCCTAACCCCTGCACAAAGCCTTGGATGTCAAAACAGCAGGGCAACAGGTTAGGGTCTCCCAGGAGCAGCCCTGCATAGAGCACAGGCCTCTTATGCAGCATCTAAGGAGAATGAGGCATCCAATAACAAGACCTAGAAAAGTCAGTTTCAGAGAACACAGGTGCTCAAGGCAGCAAGTACTGAGGGCAACCATTCCCTCCTTAGTGAGCCAAGGTGCCAGTCACTGCAGGCTATCCCTGGGGATGGAAGGTGACAGTGCCATCCAGCCATGCATATACACATCACACATGCAGAAAATCATATTCAAATCCTGCCTCCATTAGCTTCAGTCTGGGCTTACCATCCTTGAGGTAACAACCCTCAACTCATGACACTGAAAAGGACCAAGACCTGAAAATTCAATTTTTTGCTATTGGCAATCCGCATATTCCCTTGAACATTCATTGAAGTCGTGACTATAACCCATGTTGTTCCCAGACAGCTTGTCAGCCTCAAAGCCACACATCTACTCCTACTCTCTAAATCTCTGAAGTGCCACTGCAGAAACTTTTGGCCCAGATGCTGAGCCACTGAACACCACAGCATCTAATGTTCTTCATGGATATCATCTTTTACATTCCAAGAAAAACAGTAGCATAATTACCATACCACAAGCCGCACTGCTCTAAGTAATAATAAACAATCCAGGCAGCAAATACTGAGGCTCATGGTCTCAGAATGAGACTCAATAGCTCCTCACACATGGAAAAAGAGGGATTCAGTGAAGAAAGGAGGGCTTTACCGGGAACTGTGCTCTCATGCATACAACCCCCTCCAACCCTTCTTCTCAGAACTCAACCCCTCATCAAAGGGGTACCCAAGTCCCTCCAGCAGAATCACCTTTTCTTCCAGTAGCTCAGTGGTCATCCAAGACGCTGGAAACTCAAGAGTAAATCCTCTGATACACATTAAAATTAGCGTTGTTTGCTGGCCTTTCCTTTATCTAGCTGAATTCCCTAATCCACTTCTCCACTGAGGAAAAAAAGGAGGGTCAACACTGGGGGGAAAATGCATCAGCCAAGACTGGGGCCAGACTGTTTTTTTTTCGGCAGCTTCCCTGGCTTAAAAAGATGGTGACCCTACAGCAACGAAACACACCTTCAACAATATAAAGACACATATTATCCTTATTTTATACATAACAGGCTGGAACTATTTTCATATTATCTGAGTGCAAGACTCCTACCACCTTCTGTAAGAACGTAACTGGACCAAATGTTGACAGTTAAACAAAAAAACCATTACTTGAACACAGAAACTAGGAAAAGGTCTGCCAATACATCTTCTTCAGATTTATATTATTTCTGTTTTGCTGCAACAAAGTGTATATAGAAACCAGAGACTGTTCCTTTTTCAAGGAGACATTTTGAGGCAGGCTGCATTCTGGAGTTGGTTCTGCTTGTCAGTATGTCTTTAAAATTAAAGGGCAGGGTCAACCATCAGGGTAAAAAAATGTATTTTAAAACACATGCAAAAAATACGAATTCTTTGATGCTTTATGGTCAAACATCTGCTAAACTACTACTTTCCTTCAATTATGGGATTCTCAAAGCAACAATTATATCTATTTTCCTCAGCATTTGGGGGATATAATCAGTACTACCAGAAATCAACACAATCTGTCTCTATATATCTTTATGTTTTCCCAATGTTGAAACACTCAAAATGAAACAAGGGCATTGACTAAATATGGTAAATCTCCAGTTTGACAGTTCCCAAAACTGAACACTTTCTAACATTCAATCCTCTTTGTTACCTAGGAATCTGTTTCTTTGAGACTGTGACCATTTTCAATCTCTGCTGACTTCTGGAAATCCAGGTCACCCTGTGTTTCATGCTTCTTCTCTCCCTGTCACTAACACAGGCAGGAATGTTACTCCCTCCTTGTAAGGAGATCAAAGGAGGTGAAAACTTTCTCTTTGACCCAACACCTTCAAATCTTGGGATACAGTGAAAGGGAGAATGTTGGGGGGTTTTCCTCTTCAATAGAAAAATCTATCCTTTTCTGTACTGTCCCATTTTGCTGCATAAATCACATGGAATCTGGAAACTTGTCATCCTTGCATGTTGCTCAGTCATGAAGACGAAAGCGTGATTTTATCCACATGATCACAAGGTACCAAAAAGCCTCCTGCACAGCATCACTGTTCCAAGTGAGCCAACTAGTTCTATGCCAAACTCATATCTGAGCCAAAGTGGGCAAATCCCAGCAAATCCAATAAACAAGGAAAGCTCTGTCCACATCCCAATAGGCTTTCAAACCCATAGGTATGGGTTAGATAGAAGACCTGCAGGAAGAGACACTCCTGCTATCCTGAAGTCAATACTGGCTCCTTTTGGCTAAAACAAGGCAGATCTGAATTGCTGATATTCCCTCGCTAAGGGAAATAGTTCACATATTTCTGATGTCATTTAAGGTACTCTTCTATTTCTTTTTTCTCAAGAATAAGGCACAGTGACAATTTCTGGTTAGAGCAGAGGAAGCAGTTCTGGGAACAAATTCCTCAGAAGTGATGAGGCAGTGGTTTGCACAGCGTAACTACACATTTTTATTCCATGCTTGGGATGAGTGAGAGTTTTAGGATAGGTGCTTTTCTGAACAGCACACCTCCCAGTTCTCTTTCCTGGAGAGGCTGGTGATGAGCAGCTCTCATCAGACATTTCTGTCAGCCAGGCAGTAGGTCCAGTGAGCGGAAGAATAAGAGCCAAGAGCTAACCAGGGACTAGCTACCCCACATAACCTCCTTAATCATGAAAACCTGTCACAGCTTGCACAGAGTAAGATGAGACCAGCAGAAATTGCTCAGCAACAAACAGTAGGATAGACTTTAAGTCAGAAGGTAATTTAATCAAAATTATTCCACCACGTGTGAGAAGCTGCCTGCAAACCTGCTTGCTCTTTTGTGAGAGATCTCATTGCCGTGCAGTCTTCTAACACCAATACATACACCTCTTCAGACACACAGCAGGTCTCAGAGGAAAGCAAAAATGTGAGCAAGAATAATGAGTGTTTTTTGAACATTACTCAGTATAAACCAGAACTGGATAATAAAACCTGATCTTTCAGAACATCACCAGCCACAGATGCTAGCCTGACCATTCAGTCTTCAGTATAAGGAGATCTTTAGAGATGAAAAGGAAGGGCACAGTTAACCTCTGTGAGCATTTTTAACATGCAAATTAAGTATGTCTCTAAATGAAAAAGGAAAATCTAGGAGCAAAGCCAGGCAAGTGCAAAAAACTACACGGCTAAGACAGAGAAGTGACGAACAGACTTTTTGGGATGCGAAGATGTTTGCCAAGACTAAATTGCAGGTTCTCTTTGTAAGTTCAGTAACCCTTGTTCAACACCAAAAACATCTTTTTAATTTTAGCTTCCTTTTTAGGAAGCTTGGAATAGGACTGGAAAGGACATGAAGTAAGTTGTAGGCTTAAACTTAGCTGTATTTTCCTATCAAAGCACTAAACCTTACATATATCACGAGACAAACAGATATTATTAACGGGTTTAGTAGTTTTGCATTTTAGGCATGTGTTTGCCTCAATATCACAGAAATACCTCAGACAAAATTTAGAGTATCAGTTTTGCAAACCATTGATTTATTCCAAGAATACAATAATAACTATATTTACTTTGTTGCAATTTGAAGGACTATATATTATTTTCTAAACAAAACAGCTTTTATATGCTATTTGTTTCATTTCAAACAGAAAGCTTAATATCACAAAAATTTACAATTCATAAAAAAATTATTAGTATCATGTACCTTTTATTTCCTAAACTAAATTTATTTTCTCATAAAGGAACAAGAATGCTTTTGAAGTGGTCTAGGAATAAGTATATTGGTTTTTTATGGAGAGCAGTCACAGAAGAAAGTTATCATCTGGCCTTTAAATAACAATCCCGAGGAAGCCCCACATAAGTATGTACAAAAAGAGAATCTTATAAATCATTTTCTTTGCAAGCAAGCTAATAGTTTGGGGCTTATAGACCAGAATATTGTTGAGCCTAGCAAATGGTCATTCTTGTTTCTGAAGTAACATATCACACATGACCAACTAAAAGGCAACACACAGTCAATAACAAGTGACAAAGACTTTTCCAAGGTGAGCATGAGAGGGGGAAGGGAAGGAAAGGACACACAGATACCATTATGCTTAGCAAGGGGCTGGAACTTTCCAAGACCAGTACAAGATACTCCTCCTTTTCCTGCTGTCTTGTTCTTTCTCAGAGCAAAGGGCCGAGCTTGGCAAGATAGGGTATGACAAGAAAAGCAGAAATCACGTGTTAACTAAACGCCCCGTGGAGAGCTTCTCTCCTACCAACCACAACAGAGGACCAGAATATTTGGAAATGAGATGCAGCAGTGTTAAAAAAAGGGTATAGATTTAACAAAGTGTTCAGGAATCAGCTCTAATTTTACAAGCCTGTTCAACCAAACTGTATTAAACCAAACAGCATCATTCACAACCATGGCATAGAGAAAAGTCCCAGACAAATAGCATCTTGTTTTGCAGAACTATTGGAGCAGGAAGAAAACCACAGTTTGACCGCTGAGACAAGGTATAATACAGTTTGATGTTAAAAAGCAAATGATGTGTAATTCCAAAAGGAAGAGTTACCTTCTGGAGGAGTTGCAACACTGTTCCCAAGTCCCAAAATAGCAATGCTGTGATTCCTTGGCTCCCGCATCATTGCAAACTCTTCTCCTCTTTCCCAGTGTGGTACTTTCACAGGCTCCAAATGTACATTTTCAAGCCCGTCTTCCTGCAGGGCATTGAACATATATTTGATGGCTGCATCTAGGTTTTTTGAACCACTGAGTCTTGGTCCAATGGTATCGACAAAAAGTGCTAATCTTTCATAGGATCTGTTCTGAGCCTTTCCATAAACAGCAAGATCAATAATAGCCTTAGCAATATCAGTATAGCCAGCTATCTCATTTTTAATGTCTTCAAATGTTTTCAGGTAATTGCCACCTCTTCTCAAAGATTTCCCAGAATACTGTGGTAATAAATTCATGAAACATATTAAGAATAAGTACTTCATTTTTTCCCTCTTTTTTTTTCTTTTCCACAGATGGCCTGTTAGAGAGGAAAAAAGGAGAAAAAAAGGAATATTAAAAAAAATCATAAAGCTATCAGCAATATTTTTTTGCTATTTGTATTGGCAGACAGAAATTAAATCACTTTATCATGAAAACGCTTTGATCAGAACTGGCAGGAAAGTAAACTCAACTTGGAGACACAATTATTGAAAGCAAATGAAAAAGATACTTAGACCACTGGACACAGTCTTTGTTGTGGTTTTTAGAAATATCCTTGGAATGCTGCATCTCTTTAAATAATCACATTCTTCACTGAATCAAAACCCAGGGCTGCCCCCATCCAGGAGGAGCTTTGAATCTCCTTTCTGTTAGGATTTCCCAGAAGTGCCAAATCAAATGTCTTTAAACAAAACATCCAGACAAAAAATTTCTTAGACCATTCATGAATAAAAGTGCTTCTTAATCTCTGTCTTCATAATCAGGAAAGCACTTTGTATTGCACTAAAAAGATGTAAGAGCAATTTTGTTCTAGTGTCCCGGTTTCAGCTGGGATAAAGATCATATTCTTCTTAGTAGTTGGTACAGTGCTGTGTTTGGGATTCAGCATGAGAATGTTGATAACACACTGATGTTTTGGATGTTGCTAAGTACTGCTTACCCTATGTCAAGGACTTTCCAGTATCTCATGCTCTGCCAGTGAGGAGCTGCACAAGAAGGTGGGAAGAAGCACAGCCAGGACAGCTGGCCCAAACTGGCCAAAGGGATATTCTATGCCATAGGATAAGTTGTTCAGTATGCAAACTCAGGGTGGGTGGTTGGAAAGGGTCTATCACTGCTTGGAGACAGGCTGGGCATTAATTCAGCAGGTGGTGAGGAATTACATTGCGCATTGCTTGTTTTTCTTGAGGTTTTTTTCTATTGTTATTATTACTATCATCACCATCATCCTTTTTTTTATCTATTAAACTGCTCTTATCTGAACCCATGCGCTTTTGTACTTCTTTTTCTGAGTCTCCTCCTTATCCCACTCAGGGGTGGGAGGACTACTGAGTGAGTAGCTGTACAGTACTGAGTTACCAGCTGGGGTTAAACCATGCCAGAATGTTAACAGACTTTCTGGGGATCCTGTTCTCTCTTTCAGGGCTTTATCCCACAGAACATATATCAAGCAGATTTTTGAAGGGGTCAAAGTCTTCTCTCCTGAAGTCCAGTGCTGTGATCTTGCTTTTTGACCTGCTCTTATGATCCTGAACTCCATTATATCATGGATGCTTCAGCCAATGCTGCCTTCAACCTTCATACCACAACCAGCACTTATTTGCTTGTATAAGGTCCATCAGAGGACCTCTCCTTGCTGGCTTCTCTATAACCTGTGTCAGAAACCTCCCAGATTGTTTATAACTTGCTGTGATGGCCCTCCAGCAGTTATTGGGATAGTTAAAGTACACCATGAGCATTGGAGCCTGTGAACAAGAAGCTATTTACCCCTGTCAGGGCCTCATCTGCTTGTTTTTCCTGATCATATGACCTATAGCATACAGCTACTACATGTTACCCATACCAGTCTGCTCTTTAATCTAATCCATAACCTCTCAGTTGGTTCATCATCCCTCCCCAGGCAGAACTTCAAGCATTACATCTGTCTTCTCACATAAAGGGCAACTCCATCTCCTTTTCTTCCTAGTCTGTTCTTCCTAAAGGGCATATATCCATCCATTGTAGCACTCCAGTCATGTGAGCTGTCCCTCCACACCCCCACGATCCCGACAAGATCATAGTCCTGCAACTGCACACAGATCTCTAACTCCTTGTGTATATTCCCCATGTTGTAGACATTAGCGTACAGACACTCAGAATGGAAACAGAAGAGGCAACACATAACAATTATGAGAGCATCTGATCAGCTCCCAAGAAGGGGAGATGACCCACCAAGCATGCACCCATACAATAGCATCTGAAACATCGGCTGTGCAATGCTTTTGCTTATTTTTATAAGACACAGAAACAGTGAAAGGATTAAATCACATTTCTAGGACCCATAAATACCAGAATTAAAAAAAACCAAACACACAAACAGAAACAAATAAAATCCCTACCCCAATCCCCATAAAAACCACAGACGCAAACATTTTGGAGTCACCAAGCCTAGCTCATATGATAACCAGCACAAATTCCCAGCCTTTCATATGCCTTTATGGGTCTTTTCACAAACAGCAATTTAAATAGCTTTAGCAATATAAGAATATTAAGGCATTCTCCTTAACTATTCAAATGCCCTCTAAACTTGAGATCAAGGAAGTAAAAAGTTCTGCACAGTGAAGTATCATTTTCCCAAAAGAACAACAAAAATCAGCTCCGATTTCTTCTATGAATGATGTATCTATCACAGAAATTTCCTCTCTCTCTGTAAGACAGAAAGAGGGCAAAGGTCTTACACGACCAGGAGCAGAAGACTTGGGTTATCTCAGGACACTGTCTGAGAACTGCAGAATGCCTTTTATAGCCTGAGTTACTGTTTATTTGTGGTTATACTACACAGAGGGTATTGGTGTATTTTTATTGCTACACTCTGCACTTTCCCCATGTTCCTTCCCTTTGGATCAGTTAATTACATACTCATAGACATCCTCTGCTAGGGACATCAGTAATTTTCTTGGGATGACCATGCTCGTTCCCTGATTTTTGCCAAGTTCATCATGCACAAAGAAGCAAGCAAGTTAATCTGATTTCTGCCATAAGAAATTCTTGCTGAGTGGAGTAAGACAACAACTTTGTAGAGTTAGTTTCAAAATCCTAAGGTTTTGGGTTTCATTTGTTTAAGGGTTTGCAAAATCTACCAGACAAAGCTGATACATTTAGCTGCTACACAGAAAACACAGGGGGATTCTTTAATTAGCATTGGCCACCTCAAAGAGCTCCCAGCTAGCAACTTCATGCATTTTTTTCAATGGAGAAATGAATTTAGAGTTCTCACATTTCCCTTAGCTAAGAAACGCTTTCTTTGCTCCTCCTGGTGTCATTGAAAACCAGCAATATCTTCACTCCAAAGGCTGACCCAGAGGAGCTGGATTTCAGAGCTGCACTTCTTCCAGGAATTTCCCACTGAACACAGAACAGAAATGTTTCCACAGCTTTTGTGGATATAACATACTTCTGCCATGCACAGCATTTCACTACCTGCCAATGCATTGTAAGAGAATGCATTGAATTCAAACCCTGGGCAAGGACACAAGAATAGCAGCGTAATTTATTATGCTTTCCTTGGATAGTCCAGCATAATCTGTTCAAAAGCAGCTATCAGAAACAATTCCCTGCTAGGTAAAATAACATCATCACTTGGACTGCAATACAGGAATCACTCCTCTGCTAATTCAGGGAAAGAATTTCACATTTGTTGTCCCAGTCTCTGCAACTTGAAGCTGTTTATCAGCCCAGTGAATCATATAGGAAAAGAGATTACTTATTATTGCACACCTAACTAGTTAAGACTCAGCAAATGAACATCACAGTCAAATAGGACAGTCAAAATTGTTTGATGCATTTAATTATTCATGAAGCAGATAGAGGGCATCCAGCCATGGCAGTACCCCGATCCATACACAGAAGGAGGGCATGGTCTGAATATAGTCCACAGAAGAGAGAGATTTCTTCCTGCAAAATCCTAGCAGACCATTTCAAATACAAAGTCTGGAGCAAGGAAGACGCCCTCTTGATGGATGAAGACCAGGTTAGGGAGGACATAAACAAACTACATATCCAAATCCATGGGACCTCATCCACAAACATCCTTAGGATGTCATGTCAGTCCTACCTTCAAGAAGTACAAGAAGTGAGATGTAGGGAACTACAGGCCAGTCAGCCTCACCTCAAGCCCTGGCGAGTGGACAGGAGAAAAATCCCCCTGGAAATTATTTCCAGCCATATGAAGGACAAGAAGGTGATTCAGAATATTTAGCATGAATTTACCAGAGGAAATTGTGCATAATCAACATGATACACTTCTAGAACAAAATCACTGACTTGGTAGATGATGGAAGAGCAGTGAATATTGTTTGCTTTGTCATTAGAAAAGCAGTTGACAGTCTCCCTAAAGGTCTCAGGGAAGATCATGAAGCCAGGGTTGAATAATCAGACAGTGAGGTGGATTGAAAATTGGCTGAACAACCAAGTTCAGAGGATTTTGATTATTTGTGTGAGATCTAGTTGGCAGTCAGTAGATAGTGGTGTCCCCTAGAAGTCCATACTTGGTCCAGTACTCTTATACCTCCATTAATGACCTGTATACTTGGACAGACTGCAGCCACAACAGACTTGCAGATGACAGGAAGGTTAGTAGGAGAGTTTACATGATGGTTGTGCTGCCACCAGGGTGCACAGAGAAATAGGCAGGCAGGAACTTTATGAAGTTCAACAAGTCCTGCATCCAGGGAGGACTAACCCCATACACTAAGACAGGCTGGGAACACCCAGCTTGAAAGGAGCTTGTCAGAGAATGAGTCAGGAAAACAACCTCATGTTGGTAAATATCAACAGCCTGGTGGGCTGCATATTAGAATTGTTGCCAGCAGGTGCAGGGATGTGATCTTTATCCTCTGCTTAGCATTAGTGAGGCCACACCTGGAGTACTTGTTCATTTCTGGGGCCCCCAGTACAACAGAGACATGGACACACTGGAGAGAGTACAACAAAGGGCCACAAAAGTGATTAAGGGACTGAAGCATCTATGCTATCAGGGTGAGAAAGCTGTAAATGTTCAGCCTGGAGAAGAAAAGACTCAGGGAGGGTTTCATCAATGGGAACAAATATCTGATGGGAGGGAACAAAGAAGACAGAGCCAGGCTTTTTCTAGTGGTGCCGACCAACAGAATAAGAGGCAGCGAGCACAAACTGAAACATATGAAATTCCATCCGAACATAAGAATGTACCTTTTTTTTACTGTGAGGATGGTCGAACACTGGAAGAGGTTGCCCTGAGAGGTTGTGAAGTGTCCATACAGGGAAAGATTCCAAACTTGTCCAAGCATGGGCCTGGA